ATTCGAACAATAAGGCCATGAGATTCATAAACCTTACTTAACCTTTCAACGTTCCGCCAATTAAGACATCATTTTTTTTTTTTTTTTGCTACACATTCTTTTTATTGAGAAAAATAAATAAATAAATTTTGATTCAATTAAGGGCATTGAGTATTTGACATTTATGAAACAATCATACCACATATACAATAAAATAAAAACAACAGAAAGTTGTAACAAAAGAAAGAAACGAAAACTTGGAATAACAGAATAAATCAAACATGAGACAACATTGCATATATAAAAAATAAAAATTAAAAACATATTCGTACTTATTTACAACATTTACAGTCAGCCGAGGAAGCTCCGAGTCGGGTCCTTTTCCCACGTGTGGAAGATAAGGCAAGACTCCAAGAGATCCCAGCGCTCCTTTCTCAGCCGCATCACTGGGATGGGAATCCAGTGGAGACTAAGAGAGGGCAATAAAGCCACACACACTCATGACTTGAATGGAGAAGTGAATCCATTCATCAGAAGCCATTAATAGGACTCCAGTGACGTATTTACAAAAGATCTCGAGGCCACTGCCGTTTCAACCTTCTAGGAGGACTAGAACTGAATAAGGATTGTGCTAAGGGATTAGGATGATAATCCCTTAGCACAATCCTTATTCATAAGCTAATGCTTCTGATGAAAATTTGAGAATCGGGATGGAATAACGTCATCGACATAAGGGATGTTAATGTTAAGGTCGTGATGTAAGGTTTTGTACGTAATACAATAAGGAGCATTGACTATTATACGGAGGATTTTAGACTGGAAAGTTGGATGCGTTTGATGTTAGAAAATTTAGTTGTCCCCTATAGTTCAAGTCCGTATGTCCAGATGGATTTCAGTATCATCTTGTACATTAATTCAGACTTCATTAGCACAGAAAAAAAACAAACAATTTTTACTTGGTCGTAAACTTGTACATTACTGCGACTATATTTCATATTTGAGCCAATTAATATATTACGTATCTATCTAATTTATGAGGAGTAAGGTAAGTGTACCAGTAATAGACACTTAGGTTTTGGGGTCAACATATTTTTTTAATATTAAACAAAAATAAACAAATAAATTCTTCACAGTTTTAACCAAGGAAATGGCAAACTACAGATGAATAAATCAAAAGTTCATCTAGTAACAGAAATACACAATTTAAGTTCTGAAGGTGGATCTTTGCAAATGGGTTCCATTGACAGAAAATTTAGTATTTTACCAATTTCGTTTTTGCTATAGAGTCAATTAGTTTATTATTCATGAAAAATCTAGGAAATTCCAACAGCGTATTCTGGACACTCAGGTTATGGGGTCAACATATTTTTTATATAATTAAAAAAAAAATACCACAGTTTTAAACAAGAAAATGGCAAACTACAGATGAATAAATAAAAAATTTAAACCTATCTCTCAAGGAAAAGTGATAAGGAAATCTCCCTGAAACAAACAACCAGCCTTCCGCCGCTGAAAAATTAACTAATCGCCTATTGTGGCATGATATCATTCACAGGGGGATCTACGGAGGAGTTGAGGAAGTTATCGGGCTGAAGCCCCTCCTCCCCCCCCCAAAAAAAAATGGTAAAATATAACCGTTATTTTATGGTAAAAATATCTCTTAAAGTATTATTATTCGTGTAATTAAATTTAATAGAACTTCAAGAATCACTTAAACACTATTTCATATAGATAGTTAGTTTCTTTCTTTTTTTTTCAATGTAATTATCATTATATATATGAAAAAAAACGCTTTAGGGATACGGCCCAAAAAAAAAAATTAAAACCTGGTTCTGCTAGTGATACCTGACCTGAGGTTCAGGCATCACTCTTTTAAGTGTTCTAGTTTCAAATCTAATCGTATTTTCAATATCTTCTGTGCGTATAAAGCTTATTACATGTTAATGAGTTGAAAACTGCCTATTACTGGTACATTTGCTATTACTTTGCTTATTGCATTAACAAGATATTTATGATTTATCGGTTTAGTGAAGACAGAAAAATAAAAACCGTTTTAAATACTGTTCAAAAAATGTTGCTAATGTAAGAATGATGCGACTACCGAAGAGGTGGATGACAACTTTCACAAAACGTGACAAGGCATGATGGAAAATATGCCGCCACATATGGAAATATGACTCAACCGAACGTTATGGGGTTACATCCCTTCTACAAGGTGAGTTGACGTTATTCAAAAATACTCATTCGAACCTGTTACAGGGCAAAAAAAAAAAAAGAATTCGAATTACTGAACGACTTAGAATACGAGATATCAATTCCTTTCTCAGTTACATTTCGATATCTCTAAATGAAATTTTATTCCATCATAAAAAAGAGAACTTTAAATGAGATGCTTCAATGGTAGGGATTTTAATTTTAAAATGCTCTGTGTAGGAATAAACAACAGATGACCGGAAGGGCCAAGAGTGATTTAGAAGGCAGCAGAACGGAAGTCCTACAGTTTCCTGTCCGGAACTAACACGCAGGAAACAACGGAACTCATCAATATAGTTCCATGTATACCTCATATATTCAATCTAGACGATTTTTTTTTTAATTCTATTTTTTAAAATGTCCAAAAAAATACAGAAAAAAATAAATAACTGAATTGACACAGCTATATTTATTGATTTCTAAAGAAAGCAAGTTGGTTATTCCGGAATTGTTTTTTTTTTTTTATAATAAGGGAGAAGTGTAGCTCGCCCACTGAGCTACACTTCTCCCTTATTAGCACTGACTTCCAGAGCTCAAAGACCGAGGTTTGAGTCCGATTGTTGGCTAGTAATTTTTGATCAGACGATCGACCCTGGGATCGAGAGACCCTCCCGAGGCACACCCAGCCTCTATAAAGTGTGTACATTTAATTAAATAATTGATTAAGGGGTAAAATCTGGCGATAGAGAGTGACATCGGCCCAATCACCCCAGTGAACAACCGCTGGCCTTGTAAGAATATTTCCTCACATTGTACTGAACACAAGATGCTTCATCGGTTGTAGTGGTACAGGTTTTTTTTCTCAAGTATTATACTATTTATAATATTATAATAAAGCATTATACATAAAGTATACACGCATAAACTTCAAACCATCTAGTTCAAGAATAACTATAGCATAGGATTAGAATTTGAAAATTTGAACTTTTTTTTTTTAAATTGAAGTCCTAAGTGAATCATCACGTAACATTTATTATCTATAGGCCCTTAATAATTAATAAATCCTTTAGTAACAAATAAAATGTCGACTATATGTGTGCATATATATATAACAATAATTAATTAAATCAGAATTTAATTACGAACCACAATATATAAAGATTCAGGAAAATATTACATGTAAAAAGGAAAAATAATCTAATTATCTAAATAATATATTATATGCAATACAATAGTAATTGCAGGATTACTGAAATCTTTAAAAGCATTTAATGGACTATGTTCGCGCCAGATATTCCTACATCATAAATTATACTGTTCTTAGAAATTGCAATCTGAGGAATTCAACCCACCCTACGAGGATAAAACTTAATAATAATAATAAGAAAAACAATTATTCGGTTAATAAATTAATGCAAATAAAAAACTACAAAAAGGAAACTAATGTCTTTTATTAATGGAGCAACAAACAGTCAGTATTGAACATATCCGTTTGAACATACCACTTCTGTATCTTTATCTAGGAACAGTAATTTTAATTACACTACTCCTTAAATATTCCTAAATGAAACCATTTCAATTGTGAATAAGAAGAAACTCACGGTTATCTTAAAAAAAAAATCGTATTGTGAAATTGCTAACGCAATAAAATGGGGATGCGATGAGATTAAGAGGGATTACAAGTCAATCGACGAAGGCAGTAAATCCATCGATGGCAACATCAATTTCAATTACGGCTTCCACTTATTAGCATATTCAAATTACTTCTATTTTTGCGTTGTTTATTTACAACAACAAAGACAATAGAATGAAAGGCAAGCAAAGACTGACAATTCTAGTTAGCAAAGATACTTTCAAAGTAAAAAATAACTTTAACTAAGTATATATGTATATAAGTATATAAATTATCTAAGTATAAGTATTGATAAAATATAATCCAACTTTAAAATATTATCAGAAATTTAAGGCGTGCAATCAAGCGCAAAAACTTTCTTGACCAATCAGCTTATCTAGGAATTATTTCTGAACAATTTGGTTCATGATGATTTTTCATAGCATATTCGTTCATGATTTCTTGTCATTCATTCGATCTCATTTAATGATATGACAAAAGTTAAAGTCTACGTTAACTCCTTAATTTAAGGCATGAACATAATCTATCTGAACATCCGCCGCAGGCTCAAAAAAAGCAATATGAGGTATGTCAACTAACAATAAATAATAAACTCAAGACTCAAATTCCTCACACCTCTCATCCATCGCCACGCCAATTTTCTGGCGTGGCATTTAATAATAAGTTTGAGGTGGAGTGGCTAATATCTCTGAAATGTCTCCTTCTTCTTTCGGTCTATCCTTTGGAAATTTAAGAATGCAGAATTATTTTTGCATATGAACTCGATTAGGTTATCCTGTTACATGAGAACTCCTTAGGACGGTCGATCCTTTTGAGGATCTAGAATAACAGAGAGACAGTAGCTGAAGATAAGACCGGGTTGGTAATTCCATCCAATGTAGAGTCAGCCAGCATGAGGCTTCCTACCCCTTATGTCTGTACGACTTCACTCTGGCTTACTTTGTATATCCCGTTCCTGTTGGTATTAAGAACCATAGGCGTTCGGGCACTGTATAATGCTTACAGGAAGAAAAGAAAAAAAGCATGATAGGCTGAATTTACTCTCGGAATTGGATTCAAAACAATAAAACTATTTTTTTTAAGGACTTATCTTTCCGTTCTAGTCAAGTTCACCACATTCCAGAAATGTTTCTGTCAGATGCCCACGTAATTCAAAGCGAGTGAATCACACCTATTCATTATACCACTCAATCCATCAAGGGACTCCCTTAACGATGACAGGGATATCTGTCGAGGAAGTGCGGACTTGTCTTGGAACACGCAGATTCTCCTTCTTAGTGCTTACATCATTACAGGCTACAGTCATGACCACCTCGAAGGCCAATCGATAATTAATTCATTACGCAATACCGAGAATCACAGCAGGAGCATTACTAACAACAAATTTTCCTGCAAATGTGCGTGAGGAATGCGTCACGTCAACAATAATGTGCGCTTGAGAATAACTAGGCAACGTGCTTAGAAACCTGCGAATTCTTGAAAATCTAAATCAAGTTCCTGATTTCCGTAATAGGGTACGCCCAAAATAGAGTGTAAATATGAGTAGATTTTCATTTAAAACACTAGAAAGGATGATGGCTGAACCACAAGTAATATCATGCCACAATAGCCATTTGGTATTTGAATTTTTCATAGATCAATGCTGGGTGTTTGTTTCAGGAATGTTTCCTTCTCACCTTTCTTTAAGATATGTGATTATGATTCATTCATCTGTAGATTGCCATTTCTCATTTTAAAACAGTGAATGATTTATTTATTTTTTAAAAATTGTTTTAAAAACCTGTTGAACTTAAAATCCGGGTGTCTATTACTGGTACAATAAGTGCTGTCAGAATTTCTCAAGCTTTCTATAAAAATAATAAAATAATTGACTCTACAAAAAAAAAAAAATAAATAAATAAAAGACTAAATTTCTTTTAAATAAAACCCGTTTGTAATAATTCACTATCGGAACTAAAGCTGTAGTTTACTTTAATGTTAAAAATGTTTCTTATTGTGAAAATGTTCTTAATGTGTCTATAACTGGTATATTTACCTAAAATTCTTTAATAAAAAATTTTATATTTTGGAGGAAATGATTACTATAATAGTTGTTTACTAAATATTATTGAATCATAGTTCCTGGACAAAATGATTAATATTATTGTGTGCAACGGTCGATGCGAATTTATTAAATATTTATATGAGGCCGTGATGGATGTAAGTGTTAAGCTGCTTAACCTCTCTATGCCAGAATCGGCCAGGTAATTAACTGATACAAAGTAACCTCATTATTCTAAATATCGGTAATGAGTAAAAATATATTACATTTCTAATTGTTAATTATTAGGTAAATAAGCCATAGTCAGGTATGACATGACGAGAAAATATGTATTCTACAGCACAAATACCGTAATGAGAAAAAACAAACACTAATAACTTGACTGTAAAGAGAAAATACATACTATTTTACGTTAAGTAAGTTTTTATCCAAATACGATCCGAAACAAAACATTTTATTAATCAATCACCGATGAAATAAATTATTTATATTTTTTTCTATTAACTAGAATTCAACGCATCTCAGTTTAAGACAACGTATAATAAAAATGAACTTTGATGGTTTAAAACAATTTCATAAAGATATGTTCCAGAACAAAAAAAAAAATTGTAATAGTCCACGACATTTGACAAGTTTGCTAATTCAAAACAAAGCTAGTGTAGCAAATGAAATATCATGTTGAAAGTTTTCCTCACAGATTCCCTTCTTCGGAATGATTATAAAACTACAATCATTATATTTATTAAATGTATAAAGGCAATTATTAATAGAAAATCTATAATTAAAAAAGAAGATTAATATGAAATAAAATATTTAAAAAATATTAAAATGGGCGTGAGCTGTAAACAAACGAACTGTTTTAAATATCAGCAAAATTTTATATAGCTAATAAAGCTTTGTTCATATGATATTTGTCGTATATTTGACACATAATATATGTCTCTTTATATTTTAAAACAAATGTTTTCTTAAATAAAATTAATATATAATAATTTATTTGTATATTATTACATATTATAATTTATTTGTATTTTATTATATATTATAATTTATTTGTATATTATTATATATTATAATTTATTTGTATATTATAATAATACGATATGATATATTGTTATAAATCATATTGTAATAAATAATATATTAGTGAGACCGACCGTCAATGCTTTATGTTTAACGCCGTTACAACAGAGATTAAGCCAGCATAGCAGCGAAGCGTTGCAGGTTAGTGGAATGCAGGCGCCGATTAATAAACAATTTCTAAGTGTCTTACAATTCAGTAATAATAAAAGAAGAGAAGAATGGTTGAGATGATCAGTAAAAATAAATAATTATATTTAATAATAAAAAATATAAATATTTATTTGTCCTTTTCGTTTTTTTTACTGACAACCCCAACTATTCTTCTCTTCAATTATTCACTACAGTCAACCCTCAATCCACAATTAGTAATAATAAAATTTTGTAATTTTAATAATATTGCTCTTTATTTATGTTATTTGGATTTGAAAACCCCTAGGCCATCAACACATACGGTTTGCTTAAACTATGATCCAATAATATTTACTAAACAACTATTTTTTATTGTAATGATTTCCTCCTGAATATCAAATTTTTTATTAAAGAATTTAAGGTAAATATACCAGTAAATAGGTATTATGGGCTTACCCAACTAGTAAAATATTGTTTCCAAGATGAATCTCTAATCATCATGTTTATATATGTATATTATATTTAAAATCTATCTTCAACACATAATTAATTTTAACATAAGCCCAGAGAAACAATTTTTTTTTTGCCTTCTGTCTTTTAATATTAACTTAAATAAAATAAATTTCCCAAAAAACGTTAATATAACTAATTAAATTTTATGAGGAGGCTTTGTCGGACTTGGAGGTTCTTAATAGATCCTAACGCCATGAAGTGAGTGATTGTTAAAACAGAGTCCTAATCAGTGTTTTTAAAAAAAAATTAAGCTTAAAATTATCTTTTTAGGCATTTTATTATTTCAAATAACAGGTTGTAGATGTCTTATTTTGAATACCAATATAAATGCACAGTAACAATCCTTGCAATTATTCATTAGCGCAAAAAAAACATTGGAAATTAATTTTCACAGGCTATGATTAGAAAGTTTTATTCCTGGGAGTATATATAAGGGATGAAATCCCCAATTATTATGATCATACATTTTCGATTTTAAATCAGACTGCGCCGTTTTCATTTAACTTAACTTAAATTCTACTCAGGTAGGATTTCCCACTGACGCAAGTAAAGCGAATCTTTTATTTCTTGAAAATCAAAGCCGTGAGCGGGCACGCCGCCAGGAAGAAATCCTAGCTTACCTATATTTTGAGAAGATGATGATTTTTTTTTTAAATTGATAACATGGAAGGAAAATAATTATATTATAATAATTTAATGCCAAGAAGATTGTAATTAGGAAGACTAACCTGATACTTCTTGATGGAGTCCAACTGTTGCTTGGTCGGTTCTTTGCTAGGCTCTGCTGTGCTATTGTTGTTGATGTTCCTGGGGGCAGGGGGTGGCCTGGGGGGTTCCCGAGGGGGTGGCACTGGCTTACCGGGGCTCCCCGCGTTACCATTCACCGCCCCAGCCTGAAATAATAATAACTTTATGAATGACTCATTAATGAATTACTTGCCTTTTTTTAAAAAAAAAAAATCTCAAATGGATCTTATCCTACGAGTACGTTTATCCTTCACGAAATCTCTGAATATAAACTAATCTAAATTTAAATATAATTATTACATAAAGGAAGGAGATGGTCCGGGATGGCGGTCATAAATAGGCTAAATAGTGGCAAAACTATTTTATTAAACGCCAACGTTTCGACCCGACTTAGCAGGTCTTCAGGAAGGTGTGTTCAGCTAGGACTTTCACTTAGAACTGAAGAAGACCTTGCAAAGTCGGGTCGAAACGTTGGCTTTTAATAAAATAGTTTTGCCACTATTTAGCCTATTCATGACCGCCATTCCGGACCATCTCCTTCCTTTATAATGCAACGGTCAACTATTAAATATTCAATAATTATTACATGCTTGTATGTGAACAACTATTATTCTTTTAATTATATAAATTATCTTACATATTCCCGAACGACTTAAAATCGTCGTATTTAAGAGATGTCGCCTTAATTTGACTGTTATCTTATAAATACTTATAGGTTAGGTTATTTTTCTTATGGACACTCAACAGCTGACCGAGGTCTTTAGTGTCCTTTAAATTACTTAGCTAATAAAAAAACTTTGACTTAAAAATATTTTTTTCATCGTTTTTCTTTTCCTATTATATTTTATTAAATATATATATATTTACAAGGAATTCTATTATTTATTCTAAGTTGGTGTTGTTATCTCACAAGATAAGAACAAAGGTTTCTTTCCATTCTTAGATCTCGAAAGATGCATCCATACCGCGGACAGTCCAGCAAAATATGGCAAATCGTCAACTGCACTTTACACTCTTCACAAATTGTAGGTGTAGACTTATCAATGAGGAATCCGTGGGTCATTCACGTGTACCCAATTCTCAGTCTAGTAATGACAACTTCTTCTTGTCTGTTCCTCGGCTGGAACTGTTCCATGCTTTAGTCTTTATTCCTATTAGTCCTATTATACGAGAGTCCTATTCGATATTTTTCAATTTATTGGGCCCATGTATGTTTTTTTCAAAGCTGAACACACGTCTTTTTAGCTTGACATTTTAAATAGATACATATATCTGAATGATGCTGCCTCCTTGGCTGCCATATCTACCTCTTCATTTCCCTTAAACTCAGATACGATGTTATCCAGACATTTAACTAAGTTCTTCTTCAATTCACTGATACTTATTGAATATTCAATAGTTGACCGTTTCATTATAAACGAAGGAGATTGTCCGGGGTGGCGGTCATAAATAGGCTCAATAGTAGTAAAACTATTTTATTAAAAGCCAAGCCTATTTCGACCCTACTTTGCCGTTCTTCTTCAGGGAGATGTATTCAGGTAGGAGTTTCACTTACAACTCCTGGGGAACATTTGGTTTGATCTGCATTTTAAGAGAAAAAACAGTTGCTCTGTTTTTATAGAGAGCTGTTTGTGGAAGTTGCAAAAATTATTGAACTTCAGTTATAAGTGAAATTCCTAGCTGAACACATCCCCCTGAAGAAGACCTACAAAGTCGGGTCAAAACGTTGGCTTTTAATAAAAATAGTTTTGCCACTATTTAGCCTATTTATGACCGCCACCCGGGACCATCTCCTTCCTTCACCGATACTTATATATTACCAATCAGTACAAATATGTGAACAGACTTATATATATTTATCTACAATTTAATATGTTTACCTGTGCTTTAAAATTTTAATTTTTATGTATATCATTATTATAATAATTATAATTATTTTAAGGTAAGATTATTCTCAGTTAATTATTTCTTGATTTTCTTATAATACCAGAAAAGTTTTTGATTACTATAATTATTGTTAGAGGACTAAATGTCCCAGAATAAAATTTACTTTTCTTCTTCTTCTTCATCTAACAAACTATATGTCCATCAAGTAACATAGTATAGTCCGGGGTGGCGGTCATAAATAAATAGGCTCAATAATAGTAAAACTATTTTATTAAAAGCCAAACCTATTTCGACGCTACTTTGCCGTTCTTCTTCAGGGAAATGTGTTCAGCTAGGAGTTTCACTTAGAGCTCCTGGGGAACATTTGGTTTGATCTGCATTTTAAGAGAAAAATCAGTTGCTCTGTTTTTATAGTGAGCTGTTTGTGGAAGTTGCAAAAATTATTGAACTTCAGTTCTAAGTGAAACTCCTAGCTGAACACATCCCCCTGAAGAAGACCTGCAAAGTCGGGTCAAAACGTTGGCTTTTAATAAAAATAATTTTGCCACTACTTTGCCACCGGACCATCTCCTTCCTTCACAGATACTTATATATTACCAATCAGTACAAATATGTGAACAGACTTATATATATTTATCTACAATTTAATATGTTTACCTGTGCTTTAAAATTTTAATTTTTATGTATATCATTATTATAATTATTTTAAGGTAAGATTATTCAGTCAGTTAATTATTTCTTGATTTTCTTATAATGCCAGAAAAATGTTTCTGTTTACTATAATTATTGTTAGAGGACTAAATGTTCCAGATTAAAATTTACTTTTCTTCTTCTTCTTCATGTAACAAACTATATGTCCATCAAGAATAGAACTAGCTACAGACTATAGATATGTTCCAACTCTGGTCCTGACTATGAGTAAACTGTAAAAGCCGCAGGCGCAGAAAGATTTTTTTCCGTATAAAACTTGTAGTCCGCATGGTGTTGCGCATGCGACTGACATTTTGTTGATAGTCAAAACGGTTGCAGTCCTTAAGTTTACTCTTATCTATTTTGAGATAACTTACCGCAGGACGAGGTGGAGGGTACCTCGGAGGTGTCTTGGAGTTGGCGATGAAGGAGTCGGGGACGTCGATGGCCATCTCTCGGTGGGGCCCGTTCTCGACCATGGCCACCATCATCCCGTAGCCCTCATCCGGTCGCTTCTCCGCCCCGCCCGCCTCTGTCCCGCTACCGCTCCTCCGCCGCGACCTGCAAACAAATAAAAAGGATTATTATTAACAATAAATAATTAAACTCTTTATTACATAAAAAAGTTGTTAGTGACTGTCATATTTAATCCATCCAAATGCATACTGAAGGAAAAAGAAGGTTCTATTAACACAGCTAAGAAAGGTTATAACATATACATCCATTAACAACAAAATTCAGGGGACAGACGGCCATTCCAAGTAATGTTACTAAAATAAGCATAAACATAAAAGATATTCATAAGGGAATTATGATATTAATGGAAAAATTCAAACTGCAAAGCCATGAGTTTCCAACATACAGGTGACCAACTAACTTACCAACGTTTCGCCAATTCTGCACTTAAGAGAAAAAAAACATATATATTGCTGTAGACATCTCACTGATCCAAATACATACTGAAGGAAAAAGGATGTTCTATTAACACATCTAAGGAAAGTTATATTGAACAGCTGATAGGCAGAAGTAGAAGGAAATACCAATCATAATTACCTTATGACTCTTTTCTATGCTTATTTTAGTAATATTACTTGTATCCACTGAGTTTTGTTGTTGATGGATGTTATATATATATATATATATATATATATATATATCTTCGAGCTTTTTGTTTGGAATTTATTAATTTATTATTTTATTTAAATTAAATCGTTTTATCCCATCCCATCCCATCTCAATCCCAATATATATTATTACTGTAAGGCTCGAAATCGGTTTTGTACCAAATATAAGCTCCTGTCATCCTCAAATACCATGAATGGGGTATTTCACGGATTTCAGAATTCAGAATTCAGAATTTCACGGAGGATTAGCGAATCGTATTCTCCACTTTTGTTTTTCTTTCTAAAATAAATAGAGTCGATACAAACATTTTGCTAGGCTTCAATACTGGCACGGTGGTAGGTCTGTAGATCGATGCGGGACAAATTGGACCTTGAAGATTTTTATGCGTACAGCAAGACAATGATATTTCCTTCGGAACTATCGGTCCCTGTCTTTTTAAACCCAAAAACGTACTATTTTCGAGATAACGCAAGGCATAGATTTCGCATTTACACATCCTTACGTTAATTGTAGTACTGCCATTGAATACATGTCTCATTTCGACGATTTGAGGCCTCTATGATCGAGAGAGGAGGGGTTTATATTATTTATCGATGGTGTTTTTGATCGGCAAGCCATATCATCGTCAATTCTTCACCAAATCTCAATACTGGGCCACCAATTTCGAAGGCTTCCTCCTCCTTCAGGCAGGCAAAATAGTCCAATCACCTAGAAAATTCAGGCAAACAAGTTATGAAAGAAAAAAAAACATAATTTGCGAATAACTAAAAAATTACACACGGTTTCAAACATTAATGAAGATTTAAATTAATTTTTGTTTCCTTTGTCGATTATAGTTATCGATAAAGTAATAATTGCTTTCTGTTTCTTTTTATACGTTACGAATTATTTTATTTTCTTATTAATTTGGCATTTGAAAACAATATGCTGTGCGAATTTTTCGCACGGGCCTACTAGTAATATTATATTTTAGTTATACATAAATGTTTTCATTTTTTCGCTATTAGTTTTCCTTCGTTGGTTTTTCGCTAATCAGCTGTTCAATATAACCTTTCTTAGTTGTGTTAATATAATCTTCTTTTTCCTTCAGTATGTATTTGGATGGGTTCATGAGATCACAGCACACGACGTTATGTCGATAGCATTAAGGTGAAACTTCATGCTGGGGTATGACAGTCCGTGGATAATGGGGAATATTATTTCCCTCATATCATTACCTTAGTGCTCTGTACTTAGATGTTTTAAAGATAGACTAAGTAATTTATAACATCATGATTCAAATTAATTAACAAGTCGGTCGAGATAAAGACAGGATGACCACCATCAAGGTAAATTGTAGGAAAAAATGGAAAATCCAGAGCTCATTCATTGCGGAAAAACTGAATGGGCTAAGATAGCATCGCGGCCTTGCCTATGGAAGGCAGCAACTCCGCCGGACGGAAGACTTACATAACCTCCAAGGGAAACATATAGAACACCTCAACTGTGGAATTATAATGACCGGTATCTCCGGCGTATCTCGGAGGAATGCCAGCGGTTATGAAACAGCCGAGTAATTTATGCAATAAATCTATTTTGGGACAAAATTAAACAAAATGTGTCAGCCATAGGGAGTCATAAACCAGTTGGGAATATTCTAGTCGCAACAGCTTATCTTGAAATTAATATACAGAGATAATATATACTCATGGCTTGAGGAGTCTAAGAATGATTAAGTTCAGAGGGATTCATGCTTCCGGAATGTTTTATTATTTAATTAAAACTGTAAGATTGTGCAATAAAAGTGCAATTAAATAAGTGCACTATATGAGCCTTTCAGTTGACAGAATGACTAAATCCAATTACAATATTTTTAAGTAAAATAATTTTAGAGATATTTCTTGTTCGAAAATTTATAGTGTCGGTAGAGACAGCGAGTAAGTTCAGCTATTGGTCGAATCGAGCCTACACTTATTTCCATCCATTCAGATATTCTTGTTCTAAAATATTCCCACTAGGTAAACCCATATTAATTCTCAAATCAGTTTTTTAGAATATTAAGTATTAAAATGATCTTTAAAGATCAGTAATATTTGAGTGGATTTAAATTTTTCCACTAGAAATGTCACTAAAATTAATAATCGAAAATTGGTAGACTAGTAATTAGTATATAATTTTTATTATTATTTTTATTTTTATAAAGGCAATATAATTCTCACCTATTACACTATATACTTTTCGAAATCAGTGTAAATTGAATCATAATACATATACAAAGTATATAAATATACAAGGAATACAACTAAAATACAATTTAAAGTGAACAAAAGATAATAGAAAACATTATGACCACTAAGAAATTGAATATCAGTCGCATTCACTAGAATTTTCAATTTATTGTTAATAGTTATTGTATCCCTTCATATATAATATAATAGCATAATAATCCCAAATTATAAAAACCTTATATGAACCTTGAAAAATAATTACCTTGGAAATTATCTTTCCCGCCAAATTCTAAATATTTCATACAAGAAATACTAAACAATAAATATTTCTTGCCTGATATTAATACTAATTGTAAAGGTAAGCGAGAATTTAAAAAAAATAATAATAAAAATAACAATATATTGAAAATGATTGATCAAAATCTAAGATAAAGCTACATTTATTTCTACCCATTAAGATCTTCATGTTCAAAAATATTCCTAATAGGTAAACCAATATTAATTCACAAATCATTTTTAAAATCCTAAGTATTGAAAATGATCTTCAAAGATCAATAATATTTGATTGGATCCAAGAGGCGGTTGTGAAATTTCAACTAGATTTGAACGGAGTTAACTCAGGCCGTGCTCAACATAGACATTTGCTAACTCCAAAATTCCTTAAACATAATAATGATGATATATGTACTTATATATTTGTTTATTAAAGAAGTAGTTTATTAAAAAATATAAAAAAATATTATAGATTTAAGATGTAAGAGTTACCAACGAAAGATGCATACGATAAAATAAAAAAACTTCAAATTTAGTATCATATAACATACATATATTAAATAAAAGTGTATAAATGAATGAGTTCATGCTAATAATTATAACCCCTTTAAAAGTATTTTTACACTTTCTACTCTTTATAAGTTCACTAAATCGAGACTAATTCGTTTAAAATATTTCTTTTTAAAATATTCACAATGTGAACCAGAGATAGGGCTTGCTTGTGTGCTCAATAAAAAAGAAGGAAAGCGCAGTCATATTAAGATCACTAATAACAAATCTGGTTAAAGGACAAACTTTATTTTCATCTAACACAATAAACCTACAGGCAATCAACTTGTGGACTTGATGTGTTGCAACTCAGCTACAAGTATATTGTAAAATAAATATATAAAAAAGATAAGAAAAACAGTGGGGTAAGAAATAAGAAAAAATGTATAGTGACAAGAAAAAGAAAAAAAAAATATTATTCAGATCAGTATTATTGTAAACACGAAAGTCCCTTTCGACGAAAAAAAAACTATTTCTCTGTTGAGGAATTATGCACGGGTGCCAGGCATGGATCACATCTCCAAAACTGGGACAATGGGACCATCCGGGTCGTCGATTTCGAACATGGCAAAGAAAGGCTACTCTACATTGCACTTCTCCAGTGAAACTGAACACATCATTGTCTGATTTCACTCCTGGATTCGTTCTATCTAGGGCTTGCAAGAACTTGAAGCTCAAAAACTGATCAGGCATGGATCCTAACTCTCGAAGAAACTAAAAACTTATTTATAAAAATATATATATAAAATGATAGAAGTTATTGAAAAAATAAGTAGTTCAATTTACATTACGTTTGAAACAATAATTTATTGTAATCAATAAACATCCTAGCACAGTGTTATTTTCTTATGGTTTTATATTATATGTTTTGTTTCTTGGTGTGGGGATGTATGACGGCTTCTGGTGCAGGAAATCTTCACATGCTATAGTGAAGAAACATATTTAAATAGATATATTTAGAAAAAACTGAAAAAAATTGTGGAAAATACGGACTAAAAAATAATTTTGCAGGATAATGACCCCAAACACTCTGTCTTGTTAGTTAATATTAATAACATAACCATCTATGAAATTAATATTAAAATATTAATAAAAAAAAGGAACGGAAGGACTAATGACATCTATAAATTCAATAAAAGAAATATAGTAGACGATGACAATACAAAATAATTAAATACGCCAATAAGCAGGAGGATTTGATTCTAAAAAAAAAGTTGCTACTAAAAAATTAAGAGTTCTAGTCTCGACTTCCAGAACATAGAGCTCCATGAGTATAGCCCACATGTTATGGTCTCCGTTTCCATCCAAATGGATGGAACTGGAAA